TCTTCAAGACTCGGAAAGTGACGAACCAAAGGCAAATAAGATTGTTATCATGCAGCTGCAAAAGAAGAAAAATGGGGGGCGAGTTTACAGCAAGAGACACTTCTGCCTCTACTGTTCAATGTCCTGCCACAAAATGTCCCGTCATTCGACTAGAAAACATGGAAATGAAAGTGACGTAGCCAGAGCATTGGCTCTACCTGTGAAATCTAAAGCACGTAAACTTCAGTTTGATTTGATCAGGAATAGTGGAAACCGTGAGCACAATGTTGAGGTTTTAAAGGCCGGCATTGGAACTTTAGTCCCAGCTAAACAGCCAAATTCCCCAGTTAAATCCAGTGAGTTTTTGCACTGTATAGACTGTGGGGCATTGCTTAAGCGAAAGTCGCTGTGGAGGCATGTGGCCAGGTGCCGGCTTTCACAGAAAGATGCCCAGGCTAAACCAGGTAGAAGTAGGGTCCAGTCCCTCTGCTCCCTAGCCCAGCCTGTACCGGAGGGCATCAGCAAAAAGCTGTGGTCTTTAATTTCGGCAATGCATCAGGATGAGGTCACGGGTGTTGTCAAAGCCGAAAAGGGGATTCTGAGACTCGGAGAGCACCTGTACTTAAAACACGGGCATGATAAGACTAAGCATGATTACATTAGGCAGAAAATGAGAGAAGTCGGTAGGTTAATTAACGAAGCAAAAACCGGAGGGAAACTGAAAACAATGAAGGATTTCTTTATTTCTTCCAACTTTAACCATGTGATTGATGCAGTCAGGTCTGTGGCTGGATATGATGAGGAAACAAATCAATACAAGACTCCATCCTTGGCCCTCAAACTCGGCCATAGCCTCAGAAAGCTAGATATTCTTGAATGTGACTCAAAAATGGAGCATTGTGTTGATGAACTATTTATTAAAAACCTCCAACGAAGCCGGCTGCTTTTTGAGAAGAGGTGGGACGTCTGTGTTTCTTCTGCTGCCCTACAGACCCTCCGGCAAGCCAAGTGGAACACTCCGGACCTGCTCCCTCTGACTGAGGACGTTAGAGCCATGCATGCACATATTGAGGTATGTCGACCTGAATATGTGCAAACCCTAATAAGTGAGCCAACGTCTAAGCATTGGTCTAAACTGGCAGTTTTGACTCTTTGTGAGGTCATTATTTTCAATCGAAGAAGGGAAGGTGAGGTTTCAAAGATGCCACTGACAGCCTTTACCTTAAGAAGTAAGACTGGGATCCATTCTGACATTGCTCTGGGACTGTCCCAACTTGAGAAAAAGCTGTGTCAGCATTTTCAACGCATTGAAATTAAAGGGAAAAGAAGTCGGAAAGTGCCGGTTCTTTTGACTCCTGAAATGATTGCTTCGATGGAGGTGCTGGTGGAGAACAGAAGGGCCTGTTCCATCTCTGACCATAACCCATACTTCTTTTCCCGCCCGGGCGCAGACACCCACATCAGGGGATCAGACTCCCTACGCCAGGTAGCCAAAGAATGTGGTGCGGTGCATCCAGAGATGCTATCCTCAACCAAACTTAGAAAGCACATAGCTACTATGTCTACAGTTCTCAATATGAAAGAGAATGAGATGGACATACTTGCCAACTTCCTCGGCCATGACATTCGCATCCACAGGCAATATTACAGACTACCAGAGGGGACACTGGAGCTGGCCAAAATCAGCAAAGTGTTGATGGCCATGGAGCAGGGAAGAGTGACGGAATTCGAAGGAAAGAGCCTCGACCAGATACAAATTGAGCCTGAAGGTAATTCTTGATATTATTAAAATATGTATGATTTTTTTCCCCTAAAGGCCACTTGTATTTTTATTTTCTGTGCGACAGGGAGAGCAGTAGAGATCCTCTCACAAACGGACGGGCTAAAAGAAACTTCAAGCGGAGAACCTTCAACCATTCATCCAGATGCACCCCATGGTAGTGGCAGTGCCCCTTCTGGTAAGTGTACCAGGTGGGGGATTACAGCCAGGCTGCTTGGTCCTAACCCTGGGAGTGTATATTGCTAATATATTTTTATTTCTCTCCCTAGAACGTTAGAGAAAGCCATGGTCTGCATCTGAGGTGAAGGCTGTGGAGAAGACCATGACACCTTTCATACAGACTGGAAAGGTCCCTGGGAAGTCTCACTGCCTGGCCTGCATTAATGCCTCACCAGATGACCTTAGACATCGGACATGGAGTGGCATTAAATTCTATGTCAAAAATAGAATTACTGCAATTCGAAAAAAAAATCTAAAATAAAATTCCTTTAAAATAGTTGTTTGGTTTCTATTGACTGTTTTGTATTACTTAAAGTAGTCCCAGTAAAAAAAGATTATGTCTATGGGTCCCATTCTGAACGGCCCTGTCAAAGGGACCCACCAGGTAACAAAAACGTGTATGTGTGTGTGTGTGTGTGTGTCTGTGTGTGTGTGTATGTGGGTCTGTGTGTGTGTGTGTCTGTGTGTGTGTGTGTCTGTCTGTGTGTGTGTGTGGGTCTGTGTCTGTGTGTGTCTGTGTGTGTGTGTGCGTGTGCATGTGTGTGTGTGCGTGTGTGTGTGTGTGTGTGTGTGTCGGTCTGTGTCTGTGTGGGTCTGTGTCTGTGCGTGTGTGTATGTGTGTGTGTGTGTGCGTGTGCATGTGTGTGTGTGCGTGTGTATGTGTGTGTGTGTGTGTGTGTGTGTGTATGTGTGTGTGTGTGCGTGTGACCAGAGAGGGGCTGTCTCTGTGGGTGGCCAGGTTAAATTTACCAGGGAGGATTGTGGGTAAAGTCTCAGGTTGGAGCAGAGTTTACGACCATTAGCTTTAAACATGTCGTCCTCAGTCTGAGCTGCAGCTCAGTATCATACAAACCTTTACATGTTTAACTCTACGTCACATAAGGGTTGGAGGCTCCACTTCTCTGGTGTTTCCCGCGGGGAGAGGCGCAGAGCGGGGGTGGTCATACTCATGCCCCCCATCTCAGCCGCCACGTGTTGGAGTTCTCCCCGGTGAATGAGAGGGTCGCGTCCCTCCGCCTCCGGGTGGGGGACAAGTCTCTCACTGTTGTTGTGCCTACGGGCCTAACAGTAGTGCAGAGTACTCAGCCTTCTTGGAGTCCTTGGGAGGGGTACTGGACAGTGCACCGCCCGGGGACTTGGAGAAGGGTGAAGGGGAAGAACGGCCCTGATCTCAATCTGTGCCAGTTTGTCCATCACCAACACCATGTTCCAGCACAAGGGCGTCCACCAGGGGGCGCCAGGACCTGAGGCCGGAGGTCGATGATCCACTTTGTTGGTGTATCATCTGACCTTCGACCGCGTGGGAGGGGGGCGGAGCTAAAGAGAGGGGCGGAGCTGTCAACCAATCACCAGCTGGTTGTGAGTTGGATCCGCTGGCAGGGGAAGAAGCCGGTCAGACCTGGCAGACCCAAGTGTATAGTGAGGGTCTGCTGGGAACGTCTCGCTGAGCCCCCTGTCAGACGGACTTTCAACTCACACCTCCGGGAGAGTTTCTCCCAGGTCCCGGCGGAGGAAGGGGACATGGAGTCCGAGTGGACCATGTTCTCTTCCTCTATCGCCGATGCAGCAGCTCGTAGCTGTGGTCGTAAGGTCTCTGGAGCTGGTCCCGGCGGCAACCCCCGAACCCGGTGGTGGACACCGGCAGTAAGGGATGCTGTCAGACTGTAGAAGGAGTCCTATCGAGCCATGATGGTTCGGGGGACTCCTGAGGCAGCTGTCCAGTACCGGCTGGCCAAGCGTGCCGCGGCCCGGGCTGTTGCAGAGGCAAAAACCCGGGACTGGGAGGAGTTCGGAGAGTCCATGGAGCATGACTATCGGTCGGCCTCGAAGAGATTCTGGCAAACCATCCGGCGCCTCAGGAGGGGGAAGCAGTTCTTTGCCAACACCATGTACGGTGCGGGTGGAGAGCTGCTGACCTCGACTGGGGATATTGTCGGGCGGTGGAAGGAATACTTTGAGGCTCTCCTCAATCCAAGACAATCCTGGATTGTCTTGGCTGACACGTCTCTGCAACATCGCGTGGCGATCGGGGGTGTGGTCCCTCTCCGACCAGGGTGGTGGTCCCTCTCAGACCAGGGTGGGGGTCCCTCTCCGACCGGGGTGGTGGTCCCTCTCCGACCAGGGTGGTGGTCCCTCTCAGACCAGGGTGGGGGTCCCTCTCAGACCGGGGTGGTGGTCCCTCTCTATAAGAAGGGGGACCAGAGGGTGTGTTCCAATTATCGTGGGATCACACTCCTCAGCCTCCCCGGTAAGGTCTACTCCAAGGTACTGGAGAGGAGGCTACGTCCGATTGTTGAATCTCGGATCCAGGAGGAGCAGTGTGGTTTTCGTCCCGGTCGCGGAACACTGGACCAGCTCTATACTCTCCATCGGATACTCGAGGGTTCATGGGAGTTCGCCCAACCTGTCCACATGTGCTTTGTGGATTTGGAGAAGGCGTTCGACCGTGTTCCCAGGGGTGTCCTTTGGGGGGTTCTCCGGGAGTACGGGGTCAGTAGTTTGTCAGTGTCAGTAGTTTGTCTGTGTCAGTAGTTTGTCAGCGTCAGTAGTTTGTGTCAGTAGTTTGCCTGTGTCAGTAGTTTGTCAGTGTCAGTAGTTTGTCTGTGTCAGTAGTTTGTGTCAGTAGTTTGTGTCAGTAGTTTGCCTGTGTCAGTAGTTTGTCAGTGTCAGTAGTTTGTCTGTGTCAGTAGTTTGTGTCAGTAGTTTGTGTCAGTAGTTTGCCTGTGTCAGTAGTTTGTCAGTGTCAGTAGTTTGTCTGTGTCAGTAGTTTGTCAGCGTCAGTAGTTTGTGTCAGTAGTTTGTCTGTGTCAGTAGTTTGTCTGTGTCAGTAGTTTGTCAGTGTCAGTAGTTTGTCAGTGTCAGTAGTTTGTCTGTGTCAGTAGTTTGTCTGTGTCAGTAGTTTGTCAGTGTCAGTAGTTTGTCTGTGTCAGTAGTTTGTCTGTGTCAGTAGTTTGTCAGTGTCAGTAGTTTGTCTGTGTCAGTAGTTTGTCTGTGTCAGTAGTTTCTCTCCCTAACCCCAGCTCTAACAGATGAAGGTTTGTTTAGTCTCCTTTCCCTGACATTTGGTTGAGTTATAAAGCGTTGCAGAGCGGTCTGTACACACACACACACAACACAACACACACACACACACACACACACACACACACACATACACAACACAACACAACACACACAACACAACACACGCACACAACACACACACACACAACACAACGACAAAAACCCACTTACCAGGCAACAGCAAAACAAAATACACAAATGAAAACACAGAATTCTCCATGGTTATGACCCACTGCAGACCCATGGTAACCCTAACCCATGGTAACCCTAACCCATGGTAACCCTAACCCATGGTAACCCTAACCCATGGTTATATTTGGTATCTCTGGTCCCTGTGTTTCTTTTTTTAAGGCGGGTCCAAACATTTCCTCCTTTAATAAATCCTACTCATGCATGTATTCATTTGTGTCTCTGAACAGGACTCAGTCTAACAGCTCTGTAACTTTAAAGCTGGGTCCAAGTCTGGTCCAGGCCTGTTCCTGGTCCTGGTCCTGGTCCAAGTCTGGTTCTGGTCCAGGCCTGTTCCTGGTCCTGGTCCAAGTCTGGTTCTGGTCCAGGCCTGTTCCTGGTCCTGGTCCAAGTCTGGTTCTGGTCCAGGCCTGTTCCTGGTCCAAGTCTGGTTCTGGTCCAGACCTGTTCCTGGTCCTGATCCAAGTCTGGTTCTGGTCCAGGCCTGTTCCTGGTCCATGGAAAAGTGAAAGTCATTGATGGTTGTGTTTTTTTCAGAGACGACTCCTGAGGATGGAGCAGTAAGTACACCTCCTCCACCTCCTCCACCTCCTCCACCTCCTCCACCTCCTTTACCTCCTCCACCTCCTCCACCTCCTTTACCTCCTCCACCTCCTCCACCTCCTTCACCTCCTTTACCTCCTCCACCTCCTCCACCTCCTCCACCTCCTTTACCTCCTCCACCTCCTCCACCTCCTCCACCTCCTTTACCTTCCTTTACCTCCTCCACCTCCTTTACCTCCTCCACCTCCTTTACCTCCTCCACCTCCTTTACCTCCTTTACCTCCTCCACCTCCTCCACCTCCTCCACCTCCTTTACCTCCTCCACCTCCTCCACCTTCTTTACCTCCTCCTCCACCTCCTTCACCTCCTTTACCTCCTCCACCTCCTTCACCTCCTTTACCTCCTCCTCCACCTCCTTTACCTCCTCCACCTCCTCCACCTCCTCCTCCACCTCCGCCACCTCCTCCACCTCCTCCTCCACCTCCTCCACCTCCTTTACCTCCTCCACCTCCTCCACCCTCCACCTCCTTTACCTCCTCCACCTGCTTTACCTCCGGCACCTCCTCCACCTCCTTTACCTCCTCCACCTCCTTTACCTCCTCCACCTCCTCCACCTCCTTTACCTCCTCCACCTCCTCCACCTCCTTTACCTCCCTTTAACTCCTCCACCTCCTTCACCTCCTTTACCTCCTCCACCTCCTCCACCTCCTTTACCTCCTCCACCTCCTCCACCTCCTCCACCTCCTTTACCTCCTCCACCTCCTCCACCTCCTTTACCTCCTCCACCTCCTTTACCTCCCCCACCTCCTTTACCTCCTTCACCTCCTTTACCTCCTCCACCTCCTTTACCTCCTCCACCTCCTCCACCTCCTTTACCTCCTTTACCTCCTCCACCTCCTCCACCTCCTTTACCTCCTCCTCCACCTCCTCCACCTCCTTTACCTCCTCCACCTCCTTTACCTCCTCCACCTCCTCCTCCTCCTCCACCTCCTTTACCTCCTTTACCTCCTCCACCTCCTTTACCTCCTCCACCTCCTCCACCTCCTCCTCCACCTCCGCCACCTCCGCCACCTCCTCCACCTCCTCCTCCACCTCCTCCACCTCCTTTACCTCCTCCACCTCCTCCACCTCCTTTACCTCCTCCACCTCCTTTACCTCCTCCACCTCCTTTACCTCCTCCACCTCCTCCACCTCCTTTACCTCCTCCACCTCCTTTACCTCCTCCACCTCCTCCACCTCCTTTACCTCCTCCACCTCCTCCACCTCCTTTACCTCCTTTACCTCCTCCACCTCCTTCACCTCCTTTACCTCCTCCACCTCCTCCACCTCCTCCACCTCCTTTACCTCCTCCACCTCCCTTTACCTCCTCCACCTCCTCCACCTTCTTTACCTCCTCCACCTCCTTTACCTCCTCCACCTCCTCCACCTCCTTTACCTCCTCCACCTCCTCCACCTGCTTTACCTCCTCCACCTCCTTTACCTCCCCCACCTCCTTTACCTCCTTCACCCTCCTTTACCTCCTCCACCTCCTTTACCTCCTCCACCTCCTCCACCTCCTTTACCTCCTTTACCTCCTCCACCTCCTCCACCTCCTTTACCTCCTCCTCCACCTCCTCCACCTCCTTTACCTCCTCCACCTCCTTTACCTCCTCCACCTCCTCCTCCACCTCCTTTACCTCCTTTACCTCCTCCACCTCCTCCACCTCCTTTACCTCCTTTACCTCCTCCACCTCCTCCACCTCCTTTACCTCCTCCTCCACCTCCTTTACCTCCTCCACCTCCTTTACCTCCTCCACCTCCTCCACCTCCTTTACCTACTTTACCTCCTCCACCTCCTCCACCTCCTTTACCTCCTCCACCTCCTTTACCTCCTCCACCTCCTTTACCTCCTTTACCTCCTCCACCTCCTTTACCTCCTCCACCTCCTCCATCTCCTTTACCTCCTCCACCTCCTCCACCACCTCATTTACCTCCTCCACCTCCTCCACCTCCTTTACCTCCTTTACCTCCTCCACCTCCTCCACCTCCTTTACCTCCTCCACCTCCTTTACCTCCTTTACCTCCTCCACCTCCTTTACCTCCTCCACCTCCTTTACCTCCTTTACCTCCTTTACCTCCTCCACCTCCTCCACCTCCTTTACCTCCTTTACCTCGTCCACCTCCTCCACCTCCTTTACCTCCTTCACCTCCTTTACCTCCTTTACCTCCTCCACCTCGTT